CCGCGCTCCCGCTCCCGCTCCGCGCCACCCCCCCGCGGCTCTGCGGCCGAGCGCCGATCCGCCGGCCCCTCGGAGGACCCCCGCCCAGCCCGGCTCAGCCGAGCTCCAAGCAATGGATCGCCGGCCCCGCCGCTCCGGTCCACTTCTCCTGTTTTCTCAGTAGTTTAAGATTGGCCTTGAGGAATGTATCACTGCCGGGATACTGGATCAGTTTTCACCAATACAGACCCCAGTGTTGGGTGTAAGGCCTCTTACATACATGTATTTAAGGTACATGCGTTTAAGCTTTCTTAAGTACAGACCTTAATCTTGGGTGAAAAGTAACCCCGCTAACTTAGCCTGCTTTTCTACCACCTAAACCGCTACTCCCCACTCCCAAAGCATACCGCAACCTGCCTTTCTCATAGACGCTTTAACTCTGGGACCTCCATTTTCTTATTACCCAAAAAGTGTTTTACGTATATTATTTATTAAACTATCACAATGGAGCCGACACAGTGTAATGCCAGCGTGTAGGAGGCCGAGGCAGGAGAGTTACAGTTTAAGTTGGCAGCCTAGACAGCTTAACTATTTAGCAAGGTCCTGCCTCAAAATAAAAATAAAAAAGACTAGGGATATAACTCAATAAGAAAGCCCTTAGTTTAATCCCCAGTACCAGAAAAAAAAAAAAAAAAAAATCGGAAGGACACTATTGAGGTCAACATTACTGAAGTCAATATCTCGATGAACTTATTTCAGAAATAAAGTTTCAGAAATCCTTTAAAAAACACAATGACACTTGTCTGTTTAATAAATGTGTACAAAAACATTAACAGTGTACTTACACCATACATGTAAAGAAACCATAGAAGTTAAATTGCCCTTTAAAATTTCCTTAATACAATCGTTTTTGAAAATTGGCACGGAATGCTTTCACGGGAAAATTTCTGCAGATGGTAAGATATCATCAAATCAAAGATGTGTATCTTTTAGAGGTATTTATCCTGTATTTGTTTTTTGTCTTTTTTTTTTTTTTTTTTTTTTTTTTTTTTTACAGGGTTTCGCTATGCAGTTCAGGCTGGCTTTGAATTCCCTTTGTAGCCCAGGCTGGCCTCGAACTCACAGCAGTCTTCCTGCTTCAGCCTCTCGAGTGCCTTGCCTGGCTTATCCTGTCTTTGAAACACCCCTCTTACATCTAAGGCCCATGGTCTGTCATCTGACTGCCCTGTTCCTACGGGTTCTTTTCTTGACAGCTCTCCTGTTTACTTACTATGTGACCTCAGAAAAAGTGAAACTTCAAGTTTTAATTCATCATCCTTAATGACACTAATAATTCCTAACTCATTTATGAGTTAAAATAATATTTGTAATAGTCCTACTGCATACTAAATGCTCAGCAATATCAGTTTCTTTTACCTTCCATAGATTGTATTATTTCAGTAATTAGGTAAACCATTATTTCAATAATGATAATTAATAAACTCACTGAGTCTTTTTGACAAAATAACTGATACTTGACCTCATAAACTATTTATAACACAAAGGCTGAAATGCCATTCCTCACAAAAATTCTGGACTCATATACTTAATAAAGAAAAATTTTAGCAAAAAAGGATGCATTTGTTATGAACTGAATGTGAATCCTCCAATTTGTTGAAATTCATATGTTGAAATTTAATCCTAATGTGATGGTATTTGAAGGAGGGACATTTGGAAGGCAATTAGTTACTGAGCGTGGGCCTTCGTAAATAGGATTAGTACCCTTGAAAAAGAGGGCAGAGACCTAGCTTGCTCTTTCATAGAATGAGAGCCAGGAAAAAGCCCTCACCTGACACTGGATTTGCCTGTACTATAATCTTGAACTTCCCAGCCTTCAGAATCATGAAAAATAAACTGCAGTTTAACCCAGTCCACAGCAATTTATTATAACAGCCCAAACTAAGAGAACATTTCTGAAAAATTGTGGAGTTCATCCACTGGCTGATACAGAGAAACTTCACTGTCAAGCACACAAGAGCAAAGGACCCCTGGGACAGTTACATTTGATTGTGTCAACTTGATTGGCTTTGGGACCCTGAGCTGATGGAGCATGCTTCCAGGTGTATGTGGGTGGGTCATGAAGACATGGTCTACATCTGGTCCCTGGCCCCTTCCTCTCTGTATGCTCTGCTTGTCTACCGCCAGGAGCTGGGTATATTTGCTGTGCCACACCCTTCCTCCATGATATTTCTGCATTGGAGCCAACCACTGAACCCTCTGAGATTAGGAGCCAAAGTAAGCCTCTTCTCCTTTAGTTGTGGATATTGTCTCAAAAGTAGGAAAGCTGACTAATACAGCCGCTACGTTCATAAACAAAACCTTCTTTTCACTCATTCATTCAATAATGCAGTCAGAATTCTAGAGAGCCTTTCCTTTCCTCTAAAAAAACAATGCCAAGGAGCTGGGGATTTAGCTCAGCGGCAAAGCGCCTGCCTGGCAAGCGCAAGGTCATGAGTTCAGTTTCTGGTACAGGAGAAAAACCAAAAAAAAAACAAAAAAACCAAAAAAAACAATGCCAACATAGGAGTTTTAATTTTAAAAAAAAATCAGGGTAGCAGTAGTTTATAAAAATCCCATTTTTTAGATAGATTGTTTTAATGTTACATTTCTCTAAGAAAATCTTTTAATCCTAAAGATTTAATTTTACAACCAACATACAAACGCTACAACAGTCCACCAAATTAAATAACAGGTAATTTTAAAATACAAAGTCATCCATATCTCAGCTTTTGAGTTAGGAGCTGAAATAACACACTGCTCAGTGAAACTAGTCAAAATTAAAGAAAAACAACTCTTCATGCCCTTTGGAAATGGTTCTAGGGGCAAACAGCAAAAAGAAGGAACATTGCTTTGAGAAAAACCCATGAAAATCTGTAAGAAAGGCAAATCTGTGGGTTTTTTTCAGTATTTTTTATTTTATTGGTACATTTTAGATATTCATAATGATAACATTCATCACAGGGAATTTGTACCTGTGAGTGATATATATTGTTTCTCTCCCATTCCCCTCCCTGTCTTCAGTCCTTCTCCTTATTCACAAAAGCTTTGGTGATATGTCAGCCAAGACTGCTTCCTCCCTGCTCTTCCCGTGTGAGAAAGCAGAGACTCCAGTTGGGACCCTACAGCCAAACCTAGAGGCTTTCTGTCCCTCCCCTCCCCTGTCCTCCCTTCCCTGTCCTCCCTCCCATCCTTCTTCTTTCTCGCTCTTACTGTTTTAGTGTGGTAAAATAGTATTTATAATTTTATAACTATAGTATTTATAATTTTAACCATTCATAGATGTATCGTGTATGGCATTAAATATATTCACAGTATTATTTAACCATCGCATTATCCGTACCCAAAGTTTCTCATCACCCCCTACAAGAACTTTGTATCCATTAAATAATAACTCTTCTTTTTCCCCTTTCTGCAGTTCCCAATAACCTCTATTTTATTTTCCATCTCTATAAGTTTGCATCATATAAGTGAAATCATACAATATTTGTCTTTCAGTATCTGGCTTATTTTACTTAATGTAATGTTTTCAACATCCATCTATACTGTAACATTTCCAGAATTTCATTCCTTTTTGAGGGTGCATATACCACGTTTTGCCTATTTGTTGTCCTGATTGAGACACACTTGGATTGTTTCCATGTTTTTGCTGTTGTGAATAAAATTGGTGTATAAATATCTCTCTGAGTCCCTGCTTTCAGTTCTTTTAGATATACACCTAGGAATGGAATTGCTGGGTCATACGGTAGTTCTGCCTAACATTTTAAAAAATCACCAAAATGTTTTTAATAGCAGCTGCACTACTTTGCATCATCACTAACAAAGCACAAGGGTCCCGGTTTCTCCACATACTGGTTAATATGTTATTTCTATTTTTTGAATTATAGTTATCCAGTAGGTAGGAAGTCTTATTGTGAATTCATTGTGAATCTCATTGTGGTTTTGACTTGCATTTCCTTAATGGCTAATAATGAACATTTTCTCATATGCTGAATGGTCATTTGAATACTTTCTTAGTAGAAATGTCTTTTCAAGTTTTTTACCAATTTGGGGGGAGTTTCATTCTTTTACTTTTGAGCTTTTAGAGTTCTTTGTATATTCTGGGTTTTAATCTTATTAGATATATGAGTTAGAAATATTTTCTCCCATTTAGTAGGTTATCTTCTGATCCATGTGACTGGCTCATGTGATGAGCCAAGGTGACCGCCAGACATGGTGGCCCCATGTGACTAGGATAAAATAAGGGCGTGCCTTATTTCATCGAGGCTGGCTTTACGAAAAGCCAGGCTTGGGAGTGCTGGCGTCTCCCTCGAGAAATTCTTTCTAGGTTCTTCTTGTGCTGAACAAAGAATTGGATAAAACAAGCACAAAAGATAGCAAAGTTTTACATTTACTAAAGATAGGAAAAGAAGCAATGCTCTGCAGAGCAAGTGTAGGTCAATTAAAAGTAAGAAAAAAGTGCGCTCTGCAGGGTGAGAGGGAATCACTATGAAAGA